GGAATCATGACCAATTTCAACATGCACTTATCTGTTTCATTTTTCCTAAAGATGCTAATTGAAAAAATCATAATGGCTGACATTCTTTATAGCCAGTGACCAAATCATGTAAGAAATGTGGGGTTTTTATCCTCATTAATTAGGAAAAATGGGTTTAAAAGGATGAATACCATGATTTTACTTTGTCGCTGCCTTTTTGATCACATCTTCTTTGGAGTTTTTGTCTTATTTGGGGTTTTTTTTCTTTTTTTCTTTTTTTAAATCTTCCATATTTCTGTCCCTAAGCCAAATGCTTTACTCTGGAATAATGTATTTGTTTGTTTGTTTGTTTGTTTGTTTTTTATCTCCTAACACATCATCCTTCATGCAAGCCACATCTGTACTGGCTGAACAAAAGAAATAGATGTCCAGGATTCCCATGGTGTTATTTTATGGGCATATTCTCCCTAATGACTCACACTTTAAATTTTCTTTCACCATATTCAGATGCAAGGCCAACTTTCACCCTTCTGTATATCGACTTTTCTTTTGTAAAGTGAAGTTCCATTAGCAGAATGGAGAAAGCCATAGATAATTAATTAAAATAAAGACATTAGAAATTAGCCAGAACCACTGTTAAATTTAAAAGAACCACCTAAATATTCCATTTGAGCCTCAATTCAAATAAATCTTATCTAATTAGAAAAAATACTTGGCATTAGTGAATGGCCAGCTCTTAGTTTGCCTTTATCAAATAACCAGCTAAAATTGTTGGCTTTGGGTCAATAATTGCTCCTCTCTACTAGCTAAATAGCTGCTAAGAAAGAATGAGCCCCTTAACTGTTCAGATGACCTATCCTTGACTACACAGTTGCTCCCAAAATCCTTGTGGGATTCCACAGAAGCATAGTTGTCCTCATTTATAAATTTCTTAAAATAGTGGTGAGAAAAATTATTTCTTATGCACCATCTCTATTTCCCAGTGTAAGAAAATGAGTGTCCATGGATGCCTCTTCCCTAGAAGAGCATAATCAGCTCCCCTGTGACACACTAAGGATATAGACTCAGGGTAAATGAATACTACTGTATGTAAATTACAAGTTCTACTCAGTCTTGTATAGTGAAAATCCTCTAAATATTGGTCTTTTCTACTTTTCTCTTTTTCATTGAGATATAATTAACATATAACATTATATTAGTTTTAGGTTTACAACACAGTGGTTTAATATATGTACATATTGCACAATGGGCCTTCTAGGAATGGGGACAGCACATGCAGATATACAGAGAAATGAGAGTGTGTTGCTTTGAGGGAACAAGTAATTGATAAGCCTGGAGTATTATATACATGGACAGGAAATAAGCGATGAGAGGTGTGGGGGGGTTGGGTGGTGTGGGAAAAGTAGAGGAGTGCAAGATCTTCAAAGTCCTTGTAAACCACAATAAGGAATTTGGACTTTATCTCTCATGTGTTGGAAGAACAGCTGAGGGATTTTAACTAGAGTAGAGGAATAATGAGATACAGGTTTCTGAATGAGCCACTTGGAGCATGGATTTTAGGGCAAGGGGGAAGGAGCAAGACTCAAGGCAGTGAGACTAGTTGTTAGGCTTCTGTAATAATCCAGAGAAGAGCTGCCAGAACTAGAAGACTTACCTTCTAATGTTGATTAAAAGGATCTGGAAAAATGTCTCTTTTTACTTACAGACTCTAACATAGAGCAATAATGAAGTCTGTAGAGGTAAAGGTCAGGAAAAGACATTGTTGATGTGTATGCTACACTTCTTTCTACATGCTTCCATACATACTTGGGAGATATATGAAGGCACCCTTAAACTTGTAACAATTTTGGGGATAGTCATACAATAGCTTCCAATTGATGTTGGAGAAGAATAAGAAATGGCATGAAAAAAATGGTCATACAATTATGTATGGAAAGCATGGTATAAAGAAATCTGTAGAGTATGATTTTATTTTCATTTGTATTTATACATGAAGACAAACTGTTTTGAAAGATGCAAAACTAATATAAGTGATTACTTCTAAAGAGATAGATGAGATAGGTCTGTGGGCAACTTTATGTGCATTGTTCAAAATTTTTGTAACAATATGATCAGATATTACATTTATATATATATTACATTATATATATATATATATATATATATATATATATTTAAAATAAATAATATTTTCAATTTGGAGGGGGAAAAACAAGGACAAGACCAAATGCATATAACCATGACATCAAGAATAGTTATATTCAGAGATGAGATTTGGGTTGCTTTTTATTTTCTTCTTTTTGCTTTTCTCTACTGCCTAAATTTATAATTGGGCATTCCAAAAAGAAACCATTATAAACTATAAGTCTTAAAATATAACCCTCTTGTGAAAGGATAACAGTATGAAATATATCCAGCACATAGCAGTCACTTCCATAATATCAACTGAACATTTGTGCTGAATTACCTGAAAATGAAGGTGTAGAAAACATTGTGTTCTGGAATCTCTGTTCCCATCAGTGAGCTTAAAGCTACTTATAGGGATAATGGTATTGACTTACCTTTTGAAAAAAAGAAGGAAAGTCATCACAAATCATAGAGAAGCCAAGAATCAGAGATGGAATTAGCATGGCTCATCCAAGAGTACCTGTGGGGTAAACTCAGCCGGTGTCGGTGGAGCAGATTTCAAGCCTGCAGAGTCACAGCTATTTAATTTTTGAATCATTCATCTTCTTCCCCCAACTGATTCTGTGTTCACCAAACAAGCAACTTTCCAATTATAACTTGGCTTTCTGTGTGAAACTCTCTCTAAGAAGACCATGAACCTGGACCCCACAATGTCCCAGTTTTGACTGTAAATGGAGAACTTACAAAAAGCCTCCCTTAGCTTTGTGATTGTGTGTCTATCTCTGAAAGGCTGAGAAAGTGATCAAATCTGGAAGGTTGTAAATTCACCCAGGTAACTTGTCCAAGCTCCCATTGGTGACCTCTCATCTTTCTTTCCCCTGATGAAACCCACCCACCCGTAGGCTGCCTGCAACCTGAAATGTAAATCCATGCTTCAAAAATTCGACAATTCTCTATCACCAGTGACTTTTAGCCTGCCTCTCAGAGTTTTAAAATACAAGCTTGTGTATGATAATTTAGCTTTAGAAGCTGCCTTCAACTTACTGTTAACCACAGGTTCTATTAATCATTGAAAACAATAAAACCTGAGTAGGGCTTAATTGTATATTTTGTTCTGACTAAAAAAATCTCTGCAGAATATCTGTAAAATGTATTGACACAAGCATACAATAGTACTGTTATTTGCTAAAACTAATATCAACTTCACAAAATAATAGGGGGACCTTTACATATACTTAGGTACAAACACAAGTCAAATATATACGTGAAAAAATAAAAATCCAAATATTAATTGACCTATATTATTTCTATTTTATAATAATGTAAAATTTGTTCAGAGCTGGCCCAGGTCCTAGTAGTGTCTCCCTCACACAAAGATATTAACTATTTTGTGGGTGGATAAGATTCATAAATAAGACTCAGGTACAGAAGTGGTAATATACATGGATATGAAAGGAATATTGCTAGATGATTTTGATCAATGAGAACAGATGAACCATATTAGGTAGAATTAGAAAGAAAGGTAGAGTCTCAACCAGAGAAGACCTTGAATATCAAAGTGACACTTCTGACAACCTTAGTTTGGTTATTCTAAATAACTTGGACCTTGGACCCCCAAGGAACCACTGAAGGACCTGAGCAAGTTTGCATTTGTTCAAAGTACCCAGATGGATATGGAAACAAAGTATAGGATCAGTAGGAAATGACCAGACATCAGTGAACTACATTAGGCATCGATTGTGATTTGTCCACTAGTTTTTAAATTCTAGACCAGAATTCTTCAATCTGTAAAGAGTAATATGAGATACTAATTGAGAATATAAATTCCTATGCCTAGTGAAAAGGCCTTTTCCACAAATAACCAGATCATTATCTACATGTGCAACTGTTGGAGAGCCCCTGATCTAGGTTAATGTAAATTTTATATAAGAAATGTTTCTAGAGAGTAAAGTAGGTTAGGTTCTTTGAAGAATGCCATATTTGAGGTAGAACAGTTGGCATTTTGAACTCAATTTTAGGGATACTACTAGAATGTAAGCTCCTTATGGGCATGGCCCTTCGTCTGATATAGCTTAAGTACTTAGAACAATTTCTGTTATATAGTATGTGCTCAACAAATATTTGTTCAGAGAATGTATAATGATTAAGAACTTGGATTTTAAAGTCAAACACAGCCAAATTCCAGCTTATTTATCTTCTCTAAATCTTAGCATAAAAAATTAGTATATTGATGCCTAGATCACAAATTTAATATAAAATTAAATTAAATAATAACTGGAAAGCATTTAGCAGAGTGTTTGGCATGGAGCAAGTCCTCAATCAATGAGAATTATTATTAGTATTGCTATTAAGAATAATGTTTATCACATCATTACTGTTCAATATTAACATAATTATAAGCTGTAATGACACTCTACAAGACATTTTTTCTTTGGAGATTAATACCTGTGGTAATAAAATAAACCCATTTTCCTTTTGTAGATCATGCACTATCAGAGGACCATATGAGTTTGAATATGCATTGTGAAATAAACACCAAGCATACAAACCATAGATAATTTTACTGTGATTTAATCTTGTCTTTTCTTTTCTTTCTTTTTCTTTCTTTTTCTTTCTTTCTTTCTTCCTCCTTCCTTCCTTCTTCCTTCCTTCTTTTTTTCTTTCTTTCTTTTTCTTTCTTTCTTTCTTTCTTTCTTTCTTTCTTTCTTTCTTTCTTTCTTTCTTTCTTTCTTTCTTTCTTTCTTTCTAGCTTGGGTCTTATACTAGTTTGTTAGAAGGGCTGAGTACAAAGAAGGGAGAAAATGATGAAAAAGGCAAACATTCAACAAACTGGTCTTCTGGGTTCTGTTATTCTGTTAAATGGCTTATCTTTTCATTTTTTTTTTAAACTTCAGGTTGTATTTAAAGGGTCACACTGGGACAGCAGGAAAACAGAGCAGCCTGATCTTACATGGTGCTGATTTCAGCACTAAAGATGCAGATAATGACAACTGTATGTGCAAATGTGCCCTCATGCTAACAGGAGGTAAGTCCTATGGGGCCATTCTCTAAGTTATGTTTCATTGGTTTGAGGCTTGAAGTTTCTTATCTGTGAGAAAGGACTGTGATCTTCTGGTCAGGAAACTTAAGAGCAAGTCCCTAGAGATCATTTTGTTCTGCCCACTAATCTACCATGTGTTCTTGTGCAAGATGTTGCTAGCATATTTATAAGTTTGCCTCCCCCCACAGTGTCTATAAAAGGTGCCCGCTAGGCTTAATTCTGAATACATTCTTTAGCTTCTTGAAGTGCCAGTTATTCTGTCTTCTAAATAATCATAATGATACCTATTGTGGAATGAACAACTATTTGGGAATTCAGCCTCAGGGTGGAGGGGGAATCCTCCGTACAAAGTGTTTTGCAACTGTGTAGTAGAGTTCATTGGTCATTCTGTTGAAATGGAATAAGAAGAATAGAGGTATAGTTAGATACAGTTAGATCCAAAGACCAGCTACACTAGGGCTTTGCATTATATGGTATTGACTTCTGTAAGACATTTGAGCTAATATAAGAAATTCCATTAAATAATATTGTATCACTGAGTAAGAAAGTTAATCCTTTTTGAACTTTTTAGTATATTTCCAGCTTTCTGATTGTGTCAAAGAGAAATTCTGTTTGGTGCTAGCATATCTGTAACACTTCTTCAGCACTTACTCAATAATCACTCAATAACCTTCATAGTGAAGAAGGAGCAAAACTCTTTGGCCTCAGGCTCAGGGCCTTGGTTAGACAATGGAACCTACCTAGAATTAAATAAAGTGATTTTATTTTAATTTTATTGGGTTTTATATTTACCTTTTATTATAGCAAGTGGTACTGGTTTCTTCTTTAAAGGAATTATGTAATCTTTGCATTTTTAAAGTATTCGCAATATTTGATATATAACACATTACTGATTTAAAGAAAAATATGAATTAAATATTAATAAAGTTATAAATGGATAATAGGAAAAATCTGTGAAGTTGATACACGACTAACTGGGGTTTGAGAAACACTAAGCTAAAACCCAGTGGCAAGCAGTGTAGCTCAAGTACGTTATAGGCTCTGGCAAGGAAGGAGTTGGCACCAAACAAAATTGTAAAGGTAACTTTCTTTCCAGTGTTTCTGCTCTCACAGTTTCAGAGTTTTTTCCCTCTCTTAATGGAATAGCAATCACTCCCTGCCCCTGTTCTGATTCTCCTTCTGTATTAATCTACAACAGAACATGTTTTCATGGCAGTAAGGAAAAAAATCTCGAAATTGAGTATTTTCCTTCCCAAAATATGATATTACTACCATTATTATTATGTATTTTTATATGTTATTGCACAGGTTGTACTGTCTTACTCGAGCTCCAAACCAGTTCTGTGAGATAAGCAGGGAGAGAAACTCTAATCTCCACTTTGTACATAAGGAAAATAAAAGCAAATTAATGCTCACCATTTTGTATTTAACATCTAGCCCAGTAGATGCAGCACATAGGAACTCAATTAAAAATATGGTGCATGAATGAATGAGTAACCATCTTGTAACCCTTGAAATCACTTTCAAATTTTGAAGCCAATGAAAGGTATCATTAGGTCGACATTTTCTCGTCAGTTAACAGAGCATGGAAGAATATGGAGAGGTGACTTTGAAGAAATCTTTCCACCTTCATCCCCATCCCCATGTCCTCCATTTTTACCACCACCACATCACTTCCCATTGACCACCATACTTACATCAATATCTTTTCAACATGAGACCAGCCCTAGCCTTATCAAAGCCAATCTGTTATGATTCTTCTTCTATCATATCCTTCTCCCTATACTTAAAAATGGTATTTTGACATCACATACAACCTCATCAAATAGGTAAAAGTCCTCTATATGTAACTTTATGACCCCCTCTCCGCAACACAGTTGTTAGAAATTTAGAATGTTTTCCAAAAATGGTACCCATAGGTTAGGTTTTAAACTTTTTTCCTGAAAGAAAATTCTTCTTCTCATTACCTCCCTGATCCCAAAAATGGGATTGTCAGCAAATTTATACAGAGACAAAAGGATTTTGATCGTTTAGTTTCTTGCTCATTTTAATATTGAAATATGCTTCAGTTTCTCCACATCTATTTTTACAGATAATTTTTCTTACCAAATAAATGCAATGCATGAAAGACCAACAGTAAAATCTTTCAAATGTTGCCTTAGAAGAGCATTCCAATATGTTCATATTTCTGTCATAATAAAATATAGAACAAAGCAAAGCAACAACCTCTTGGTTGTTGATGAGAAAACTTCATTGTTCAGATTTATGATTTTATTTCTGCTTCAAATGATTGAACTTTGTCATGTTCTTTCATCCATAATCATTTTTGGACCTGCTTCTTATTCACCAATAAATACATATGTTGGGGAGAGAAAATTTCCACTTATTGCTTGGGCTGGAATACTCTAAGTCAATGTGTTTTTGTAATAAACGCCATTACCCTATCAAATATCCTTTTGAAAGAATCCAGGCCTTGCAAATCTGTTCACTCTGCAAAGCTAAAATGTGGAATTTAGATAGCTGAGAACTGGAGAACATAAGGATGAATGTCAGTGACAGTCCAGGTAACTTGAGTATTGCCTGGAACTTATATCCTACTTAGCTACTCCCCACCACCAATACTATTCTGTCATATTTTCCCTTAGAACCATTTTCTTCATCTAATGATTTTTCCTTTCTTTTTTTTTAATTTGCATTTGAACTTACTGCCTATTTAAAGTAGTTTCTTTTAAGCAATAAGATTTCATACTCTTTGAAACTAATAATTCACAGTTTTCTGTCATCATCAATTAAAGCTTTGTTTTATCTTGTTTATTTATATATATTTTTTCCTTTGTTTCTTCTCAAAGAAGCTAAGGGTAAAGTAAGATTGAGTGCCTGCTAACTGTCCTAAATAGTTTTGCCCAAGTACCTGGGGGAATTTTGGCTGGAGAATGTGGTATTGTTGCCACCCTTATCTGTCAAAGACTGAACAACAGGAGATGAGCTTAATTGAAAGCAGAAGGTATTTCAGCTAGGCATAAGGTCAAAATATTATTTTGATCTTTCTTTCTTCTTACCTAATATCCTAATTCCTTAACTTCCTTCTATCAATGTAACATATTTTTAATAAGTAACTGTTAAGCATCAACTATTCTTAGAGAAATGAGCAAGACAGAATGGAACTTGCATCTATTGAGGGAGACCATCAACAAAAGAGTAAAAAATAAATAACATAATTTCATATCATAGCCAGTTTTGGAGACAAAATATAACATGTGATGGGGTTATTGGAGGATGGGGAAGTGACTTTAGGAGTCTCCAGGGATCAAATGCTGCTAGGGAGGATTGTGCATATAAAGCTATTTTATCTAAAAGAGTTTACTTACGCATGTTCCTGAAGTTGTAGGTCTAGATAAGAATGTCACATTTTCTTCTGGTTCTGTGATTCTGTTTTCTGTGTACTTATTGTGGCTAAAGTAGGGGAAAACAAGTAATATTATTTTTCATTGCATGAGATGTAATTCATAGTACATTGTAGAGTGGAAAGAAGGTATAGGGGCTGAGAAAGCACATTTGCATCAATAGAAATAGGTACAACGTTTTATATATATATTTCCTTTCTCAGAAGTATATGTACTTATTCCTACCTTACCAGAAAGCCAGCAGTTTTTCCATCCAATTTAAATATTGAATAATTTTCATGTTTTCTTATATATTTCTTCTGAGACCAAAGCATGTATTTCAAGGTCAAAATTGCCACATACATCTTCTATACAACTGCCCTTTAATTAATCATTGAATAGAGGTAATTTGTCAGCACAGATTTATAAGCCAGAAATGTCTTTGCTCTGTGATGCCACTGACCTTAGGAAAATTTGTAAGTTTTCTCCTTAGGTTTCCCCCTATATGAAGGATATTATGAAAAATCTGTATACTTCAGTAGTGGGAGGGACAAACTTAAGAGATGATTATAGGAAGTATTTTTAATCCTGTAGGACAGTTCCTATTATGCCCTCCTGAGCCCAAAGAAAGGAATCAGTTTCTTTTAAACATAAAAGTTTTATCTACTATTTAACATTAAGAAAATGAAAACGCAATCTCATTCAATGCATGCTTTTGTTAATATGGGTTTATTGTCTATTAAAACAAACATGCAAAAAACCTCTGACTCCATAATACTGACAATGAACAACTTTTAGATTCTCACATTCAAAGTGAATGTTACATTCAAAGAAAACATGGTCTTTGGTACTAAATTAGCATTCTTCAAATAAGTATTTCTAAAAGTCTGTTAGAAACTACAATTACTAAAGGTTGCTGGCAAAACAAAACAAAACATGGTATTATTTTACATTCCTTTCCTTACCTTACTTTTCTTTCAACACAATTTCCACATTTAGTGTATAATATAAAAGCTATGTAAAAATGTGACCTAACCTTCTGCAGAAAGAATCTGTTGTGGTAGAAACTTCGATCTCTTTTCCCACGCATAAACTATGTCAGCCGACAGACAAGACTTTGCTAAAGCTAACAAAGGATATTTCTCAGTTCAGCCCTAAAAGACAGGATAAAGCCATACACATAAATTTCTTAGTACACCCTACAACTTACCAGATGCTAACAGCAGAGAGTTGATAAATGCTTGCAGAAGAGGGTTGATATGGCCTGCTATAGAATCTTGAAGAAGACAAAGAAAATGAAAGAACTTAGCAGCTTCTCCAACTAGTGAATGATGCTGAGTGACAGAATCTTTGGGAAAATATGATCATCTTAGAGTTTTTAATAATCCAAGAAGGACATACTAAACATTGTCCGATAACTCACATTCCCCAGGTTTTAAGGCAAAAATGTTGAGAGAAAAGATCCATATGGGTAATTTAAGGTTGACCACAGAAATATACATTGCATTACTTTATTTCAAAGCAATTACTTTTAGTACATAATCCATAAGCCTATTCCTCAAAAATGTATGTTGCAAGGACTTTGTGCTCTCTACTACTATA